ACTTGAATGTGAAGAACCTCATTAAAAGAAGAGAGTGGAATATATTTTATGACTACAAGAATGATACCACTTATCTGTCTGGCACCTGGTGAAACTTCCATTTATGTTGAAAAAAATGACACTTCTCTGAGAGATGTGGATCAAATATTCCTTCTTTAGAACCTGACTAAAGAAATCCTAATTTTAAGATTACTTTCACAGACAAAAGTCATGAATTCATTACTTTAAGATATAATCAGCTTGAAAAGCTCCTTTGGATCCTTACATTTAAAGTTCTTTTTTTTTAAATGATTACCCTTGGAAAATAATTCCTTTGCCTAGTGGGAAATCTGCCCTTCACTTTGACTGGTTCTCTCTGTCAGAAAGTTTGAGTGATTTTTGTCTGTTTTAACTTACATTTTTGGCTTCAAATTTTCTTAGTAAAATAAAGCATATTTAATGTGCCCTTTTCTTAAAGTGTATCATAAGGCAAGCTGGGGAGTTGGATCTATAGGGTACAAGCACGTTTTGGCAGTAGTCACTTGAAACCTAGTAGTTTTCTTCCCCCTGGCCATTAGAGGGAAAATAGGAAAAACAGTGATCTTGTGTTAGTTTTTCCTTTGCTTGACTGCTTCATAGAATTTTTCCTTTGTTTTGTTTTACTGCTACTGTATTGGGCCGTTTTGCTAAAACATGCTTTGAAGAGATCCCAGTAGATTACTGTTATTCAGTCCTCCATCATGCCTGGTTGTTTCTGATGGTAATGATCTGACGTCACTGCAGAAACCTGCTTAATGACTGTTTTCATTTTAACCCACTTAAGTGCATGGTTGCAATATCTAAGCTTAAAAAAGTATATCTGAGGGTCAGTGGAATGAAACACCTGATTAAATGGAAAATAACGACTTCCTATCTTAAAGAGACCTCAGATTTTATATCACTTCAGGAAATGCATCTCAGTGTAGAACAACATTTCCAAAAGGTGTAATGCCATCCATATCCCAATGGAAGAAGGAAATGGTACTATATAGAGGATAAAAAATGAAGATGGGTGGGCCTTTAATAACATATGTTGGTCTTGTGCGATTGGTTTTATTTTCAAGAAGTGAGGGTTCAGCTTTCAAACTTGGAAATTCTGCTGTAGAAGATGACAAAATTTAATTGACCTGGATTATAGAAATTCACTTTATTATCCTTGCAAGTTTAATATTTTAAATGTTGCTATTTTAGCTCTAAAAATAAAAAACACTTTCAAATGCATCAATACTGTATCTTGACAGGTTTCAGAGGAACAGCCGTGTTAGTCTGTATTCGCAAAAAGAAAAGGAGTACTTGTAGCACCTTAGAGACTAACCAATTTATTTGAGCATGAGCTTTCGTGAGCTACAGCTCACTTCGTCAGATGTATACCGTGGAAACTGCAGCAGACTTTATATACACACAGAGATCATGAAACAATACCTCCTCCCACCCCACTGTCCTGCTGGTAATAGCTTATCTAAAGTGATCATCAGGTGGGCCATTTCCAGCACAAATGGGTGGAGGGTGAGAAAACCTGGATTTGTGCTGGAAATGGCCCACCTGATGATCACTTTAGATAAGCTATTACCAGCAGGACAGTGGGGTGGGAGGAGGTATTGTTTCATGATCTCTGTGTGTATATAAAGTCTGCTGCAGTTTCCACGGTATACATCTGATGAAGTGAGCTGTAGCTCACGAAAGCTCATGCTCAAATAAATTGGTTAGTCTCTAAGGTGCTACAAGTACTCCTTTTCTTTTTGCGAATACTGTATCTGACTTCATTGCTATAGTGGGTCAGATTGGCATAACTGAAAAATAACATTTGTGTTAAGTTCATTAAGTTAAAAATGTTTGACAGTAATTTTTTAATGCCAAGATGCCTTTTTAATGTCTGGTGTACTATATTTTTAAAATAGTGGAGACTTCATTGAAGGGTAATCTTTTTGAGAACAGATTAGCTAATCTGTTTTCTATTCTGAATAGGTTCAAGAAATTTTCTGAATATGTGATCCTGGGTGATAGCTTTTGTCTGTGAACTGAATAATCATAACAAATTAGACCTATACTTCCTGTTCTTCTAGACCTCAAATGTACAGTATTTTGAGATAAATTGTTTTGACAAGGCTGCTTCAAATAATATTGTGAACTTTCTTCTTGATCAGATTATTCTCTCTGATTGTCCCGTATGTGTTGCATTCTGAAAAGAACTATAAATCTACTATACTGATGGACTTTTATTATGAGAGAAAAGGTATCCAGGGGATCTCTGGTCTCTTAGGAAGCCTAAAAAATGCACAGAGAGAGGTCACCATTAATTAAGAATTGGAAGATATTTTATAAACACTTTTTTAAAATCAGTAATGAGACAAAAATTAACATATCAGTGGGGAAATAAATTTGACCAAATGTTATAAAACTTGCAGAAATGTAACTATTAAAGATTTTCTTGTAGTAGAATAACAAGAGGTGGAAGGTGTTTGCTTGCATGTGTGGTTGTTCAATAGTCTCCCTCCCCCTCCCCTTTTTAATAGCATTCTGTTTTCACTTCAGACTGTTTTGTCAATAAATGTAATACAAAAGCATTTGTTTAGATTTGGTGTAGTTGAACATGCAAGAAATAATGCCTGACAATATGCATTGTTGTGAGAATCCAGTACACCTCAGTTGTGAAGTGAGAATTGTGTAATGAAAAGACAAATGACTCGTCACTTTTGAAGTACAGTGCTTGTAGACTGCATGCTCTTGAGTATTATTCTACAATATCATTGACTTTTTGGAGGGGGGAGCAGGAGTGGTGAAACAGAATGGTTACACAGCTCTCTGAGTTATGCAATAGTTGTCCCATAATCACATGGGCCAAAACCTTCACTTGTCCGATTACTCCTTCAATTTTCCTCAAATTTTGGGTCTACCAATATTCACTGTGTATATGACTTTTAAATAAAAAATTATATTAAATACCTGGCTGTTAGAAAGAAAATGTAGTTTTAGAACTTCTTTTGTAATACTTTTATTAGTTGCAACTTTTTGAAAGCTTCTGTTTAGTAAGTATATGTCTCCTGGGAGTATACACGTCTGATTAAGAGATTGATTTTACTGGCTTCTTATTTTCTTCATTATTTAAGTAGGAAAATGCAAGTATCTCTGCGGGAGTACCATGTAAATGTAAACAAAAAATTAGGCCTAGTTTAGGTTGAGGGATGAATTATAAAAGCCCGTGTTTTACTTATTCCTGCCATGAATGCAGGGGACTGGACTAGATGACTTCATGAGGTCCCTTCCAGTCCTATGATCCTGTGATTCTATCTTTAAAACATCAAAAGCGGCATTGACAGCTGTACACAGTATAAATTGTAGTTGAAATCTAAGAGGTAAATATCAATATGGTGTAAAGTGATTTCACTGCAGGACTTCTAATAATCCTGATGGGAGTTAAATCCATGCTCACCATATTGAAAAACCATATTTTAATTGTAACATTATGTTTTTGCTTGAGTATGCTCACCCAGTTTGTGTTTTTCAAAACACCTACCTTTTAGGATAGTATTCCAGTGTGGGAACATATACTTTGTTTCACTTCAGCACAAAACCATTTAATTTTCTTTGTTTGTCGGAGTTAGTGCTATTATATTCCAGAATACCTAAAATCCAAGCAGACATGACATTGATTCACTTTATTTAAACAAACTGGGTGTATTTGTTTGCACTATCTCCTATAGAGAATTAATTACATGACCATATTTATTACTCTAATAATAATATTACAGGAGACAAACTCCTTTTACAGCTTAAACATGCTGCTAATTTTTCTGTCCTTTCTTAATGCAATTACATGAAATACAAATGTAGGACGTTTAACACAGTATATTTTACACTTTTTGAGTAAAATAAAGCTCATTTTGTCCATTGTACAACTTACAAATTATAGTTACAGATGGAAAACATGCAACTTTATATGATTTGTGTCTCTTATTTACCCAGTAATTGAATGACACTACAATACAGAAAATGTTATGACTATGATATTAGTATTTTGTGTTCAAGATTTTATCCAGAACTGTAAAATTAATACAAGCATTCCTCTATTATTTGAGTGGTTACACTTTTAGTGAAATTTGTGTAGATGTAACAGTTTAAGTAGTTATCACCGAATAAATAAAATAATTTAAATATTTATTGCCCAGTGGGAGAAGGCTCCAGCCATGGTGCAGAAAATTCCTTTTCCCCTTTGTGTATTGCTTCTGCATGGTACTCTTGAACTGCCATTGCCAGATGTGGACATGCTTCTTTTGAAAATAACTGTATCACTATTATACGCAAGGCTCTGGATTATTTGCTTCCCTACCAGAAGAACATTGTGTGTGGGCGGATTATTGGCATTTCAAGGTCTGTGCAGAGTCTGGGAAGCTGAGGCCTACAGTAAACAAAGCAACAGAAAAGAGGGGGAGTAGGGAGGGGCATACATCTGACTGATTATTTTAAGAAGACAAGTTCCAAAAAGTTTTGAACTCAGAGGTAGTGCAGCAAACTAAATAAGGTTAGCTCTGTTCAGAGTGGATGTACGGATTCATTAATTAAAAACAAAAAACCCAAACCCAGGGTAGAACAGTAGATAGGTAGTATTTGTTACAGCTTTGTAGACTAACTTCTGTTAAAAGGCAACTTGAAAGGTACAAATAGCTCCTTTAGAACTTAACTTCTGTTAGTGTGATACTTTAAAACTGCCCTTTCAGAATGTGTTCAGAGAAGGAGTTTATTAACAGTGTGTGTGTATGTGTTTATTTAGAATCTCCTTTTATTGTAGTGACATTTATGATACTAGGAAACTGTATTAGGCTTGCAAAGCCTCTCATTAGTGCCCGTTTTCCTTAGAAAATAGTATGAAATACAGACCAAAACTACAGCTTACTCTTTTTAAAGTTAGAAAATGTAAGTGTGTGTATATATAAGGTGTACTTGGGATGAAGTCAGTTAATTGCTGTTCTGTGGTTCATTTCCAGGTCCTTCAACAGCTTTTAAATCACTTCAGAAAAAACAAAGATAAAGTTCTTCTCTTCTCCTTTTCCACCAAGGTGAGCTCTATATGACTTGCATTATGACTGACCTCAGCAATAAGTCCTGAGGCATAAAGCACAGGGGACAGCAGCAGCTTTCAACCACATTTTCTTTCTCACATGCACTATGGGAAATAGTGTTGATATGGACAATGTGCAGTACTAAAGAAAACATCTTGAAACAATACGTTATCTCAAGGACAGTGGCACGGACAAATGTAGTAATCTCCTTTCTTCTTTGGGCTTGTCTTCACTGGAGTCTTAGCTGAAGTTGTCTCCACTCATTAATAGGGCCTTACCAAATTCACGGTCCATTTTGGTCAATTTCATGGTCAGAGGATTTTTAAAATAGTAATTTGCATGATTTCAGCTGTTTAAATCTGAAATTTCACAGTGTTGTAATTGTAGGGGTCCTGACCCAAAAATGGTGGTGGGGGTCTTCGCACCTTTATTATAGGGGGGCTTGCAGTGCTGCTGCCCTTACTTATGCACTGCTGCTGGTGGCGGTGCTGCCTTCAGAGCTGGGCAGCTGGAGAGTGGCAGCTGCTGGCCGGGAGCCCAGCTCTGAAGGCAGAGCTGGACCCCGAGTCAGTAGCTCCCACTCTCTGGCAACCCAGCTCTGAAGGCAGGAGCGCAAAAGTAAGGGTGGCATGGTATGGCTTTGCCACCCTTACTTTCCTTCAGAGCTGGACACCTAGTCACCAGCTGCTGCTCTCTGGCCACCCAGCTCTGAAGGCAGTGCAGAAGTAAGGTTGGCAATACCACCCCACCCCCAAAATAACCTTGTGATCCCCCTGCAACTCCCTTTTGGCTCAGGACTCCCAATTTGAGAAATGCTGGTCTCCCCTGTGAAATCTGTACAGCAGAGGGTAAAAGCACACAAAAGACAAGATTTCACAGTCCATGATGCGTTTTTCATGGCTGTGAATTTGGTAGGGCCCTACTCACTAGCCTAGCTCGCGTGCAACACAACTTGTGAGCTACACAGAATATTTGTATTAGCAGCACAGAGTAGTGGAGTCCCCACTGCGTTGGCATCAAGCATCAGCACCACTGAAGCATCAACCCACAGCCTCCAATGGGCCAGCTAGCTTGAGAGTAATGAACAACTTAACTTGAGCTAGACGCTCTGGGGGATGTGTTAGTAGCAACACTCAAGTATCCATCAAGCTAACAATGCAGTGAAGCCAAAGCCTTAAATGTGGTATTCTTGTTAGTAACTAATGTGGTTTCTGAAATGATGCAAACTATAACTCAGGATTATCTAACTAAATACTTTGCATGCCAACATAGATGATTACTGTAAATGACAGTTCAAGATCTCTGCTTTAATTTTATATCTTTTGTTGCTTTCAATTAAAAAACCTGTGAAAGATTAAGGTTTTAAATGCCACAGTACAAAACCAATTGTGTCATAGAGAATAAGCGGATAAGGATGTTAAATACCAATAGAGAGAGACATTTATATTCTCAAATGGTCTGTGGGCTATTAGAAATGATATTCAGGATACCTAATCTTTGTGGTTGTTATGGTGCTTATTTTAAAAAATACTAATAATGCCTTATCTCCCCATCTTTTTTTTATCAGTTGCTAGATGTGCTGGAACAATACTGTATGGCATCTGGGCTAGATTACCAAAGACTTGATGGAAATACAAAGTCAGAGGACCGGGTCAGGATAGTGAGAGAGTTCAATAGCATGCAAGATGTTAACATTTGCCTTGTTTCTACAATGTAAGAGAATTTAATTTGTACTGTGTGTCTGCCTTCAGCTACGTATTTAGAGGCTTGTAGTAAAGTTACTGTGCATTAACTTGATTGATCTTGCCTGGTGTTACTGTCAGCTGTTACAAAACTGTGGTGTCAGCTGCATCCATTATGGGTTAAGATTACTACAGTAGAAATGGGTCATAACACTTAATTTTTGTTCTTCACTCTCTCCTGTTGTTTCTGGGATCGTTGAGATTTGAACCTGGCGAGTGATAGTTTTAAATCCCCAGGCTAGCCAAGGGCAGTGGGCAACCACAAATTGTTCCTAACAGTCTAGTGCACCACTGCATTCTTTATTTCTGTTCTACTGTGCACATTAAGAGACAAACTTTCAAAGACTAGGCTTTTAAGTTGTGTGTGCAAAACAATAGCATGTGCGTTATTTTATGTGTGCATAGTGAACCCATACGGAAAGCCATATTTTTATCAGTAAAATTTTACACTTATGAATGCTTTTTATATGTGCAGTTTGAGCCCAGTTTCCTAACACTTGTCCCTTAAAACACTTATCTCAAACAAGCAATAAAATCTTACACATTCTATATGCCTGAAAGGGATCTTTTCATCAGTTTATGATGAATAGTGAATTCTACTGGAATAGGCTAATGAGATGTACGTGTTCAGCCAAAAATTATTAAAATAGTATATCAACCCATTCATGGCTTTCTGATTTAGTTACATAATCCTTTACCTTTTAGCTAAGCTGATTACTACTCCCAGGCAGTGGTGCAAAGGGAGCAGATATTGCCTATTTGTCCCTGGCTGTTGGGAGACTCCAGTGGGTATAGAGCCAGTATAACTGTCTCCTTTGCTGTTCTTTCCACAGTCCCAGCACAGGGTGCATGTTGGGAGCAGAGATGTGGAGAGGCCAGAGCACGATACATTCTGGCTGTGCTCAACCATCATAGCTCGTTTAAGACCACTATCAGCTGGCACACATTAGAACAGCCCTCAGGCTTCTCTAACTTGCATGGGTCTGGTATATAAGCAGAGAATCACGGCTCTAGTGATGTTCTCTTGCTTTGCTGAGCATAACCTCAGTGAATCAGAATATCTGGCCAGTGATTTCAGGGGACTTCTTGAATAAGAAATGATAAGCAGTTTTTGGTCCTTCTAGGTGAACAGAAAATTAAAATGAAAACAATCTTTTACAGGGCTACCCCTTCTGGGAGTTACTGTATCTGTACTGTTCTGAAAGGCTTTCTACTTATAGTGAATGTTCTGTCAACCTTATTTGTTTTAAACACTTTAGGATTAGCTTCATCCCCACAATCTCATAAATTCTGTGTTATGACATAGAGAATTCAATTAAATGGAAATGGAGTCTTGCTTCATTAGTAGTTTCTTCTCCCTTGCCCTTTTGAGTAGTAAAGGTGGTAAGGCAGGCCATGCCCGCCAGTGTTGCTTCATGCCAGCCACCTTAACTTATGATGATCCTATCTATACAGAGCTGAATACAATGTCTTACATTTCAGTAAGTAAATTAGTGAAAAACATGCCTAGGACAATATGCAGCATAGTGTAAGTTCCAAGAGAAACAAAACGGTATACTCTGTATTTCTTAAAGTGTAGTTCAACACACACACATTGTACAACAAAAATGAATGTGTTTCTTCTTTCCTGAGATAAAGTAATCAAAGAGACTACAAGAGTCTTTTGTAACCCTCTGGAAATCTGAAGGTGCTATATCCTAGTAGCACTCCACGAGGGTTTCTGGTCTCCTCTAAATCAGAGTTTAGGCACACCAAACCAAGATCTTTTGTGCAGTCATCTGGTTGATGGAACTTTTCAGTATCTTATTTATTTCTAAACACATCATAAATTGACAGAATTGTGACATACTTTTCTGTCCATAGTTTCTTGCAAAGTTTTTGGCTGACTGCTCTGTGCAGTCAACTTCTATGTTCTGAAAGTCTCATCTGTCAAGGAGCCAAATGTTAATTTCTGACAAATCCACTTATGCTTTATTTTGGCTGAAAAAACGCATCTAACAAAGGGTGATGTCTCAATACAGTAGCTTTATTTTTTGTCATTTTATTCCAGTGGCACAATCAATATACAACTTCAAGAAGAAGCACCAGCCTATACAATTACTAAATGATGAAGCAGTAATAATGACTTCATTCTTAAAACAGTGACCGTTACCAAATTTATATTCTACCTTATGTTCTGGAGAAATAAATCCATTCTGCCTGAAATTTCTCCTGCATAGCCTTTAGCCAAAAAGTACCTTTAGAAACGTAACCTTTAATGGAATAATATGGTTTTGAGAAAAGGAGCTTTCAAAAACAGCTTTTCAATAAATATAACTTTATTTGTAAAGGCATATCTCCAGAACAACTTGATCTTAAATCCTCACATTTGTTTTAGATACTAGCATTGAACATAATCTTGTGGATATTCTAACTTTCAAAAATCTTTTGGACAAGTTATAAGTAATATGGATGGTTCCTACTGATCTTATAAATTTCTGGAGACCAGTAGCTATAGATTGTTAAAGATTACAAGGACAGACACTTGTACGTTCTGTGGAAGAAAAAGGTTTATGGCACATATTCCCGTGTACTATCTGTTGTCACTTTTCGAGCTCCATGACAGAAATATCTCTTTCATTAAGCCTGTGCTGGCAGAAGAATCTGTCCTGGGAGAAGAATAAATATGGTCCATAATGCTTAGAGTTATTGCTGGTTCTGGAAGCAAACAAGTTCAAGTTGTAAATCTCATGAGAAGTAGTGCTATGATTTGCAGGAGTTACAAACTCAGCTGGTAGAGCTTTCAGAGTTTGTAATATCTGTGATGCAACTTCGTTTAAGGGGAGGGAACTACAGCACTTGGACATTGGGCAGCGCTGTTCCAAAGTTCCAATATATCATGCTGGAAGAAATAAAAACTGCTAATATCCCCTCCTTCAGAGCCAAATATTAAATCCAATGCTTTACCTTGTCTTTCCCACGCTAATCTCCATGTGCTCAGAAATCCATTCATTTAAAAAAAAATAACCTAAATCTGCTTCTTGATGACAGCTAAGGAAGAGAGAGAACATTGTCATTTTTTTAGTAATGGGGGGCCCTCAGATACTAGAGTAATGAGGGTCATGTAAAATACCTAGATATATAAACATACCAAAAATAGTTAACATAAATTCCAGTATTCTGCATGTTCTTACAGACATGCCTCATTACTTTAAACTTCTGTAAGGCCACATTTTAATTTAGCATGTTTGCATCCAGGCTGGTTGAACTAAAACATCCTGAGTCATTCTTTTGAAGACTCTCAGATCTTATAAACTTTTGAAGTAAAGTTGACACGATAATCTTTAGACCTACATTTTAGAGCTCACATATTTAGCAAGCAGTGCTGTGAATTGGACAGAGCCTCATGTAATTCACACATGATTGGCTAGTGGATCATATAACAGTCATGATCTTCAGGTTTTTTATCTCTTTGAGTCCTGCATATGTGATGCTTACTGCATCAATTTCCTCCTGCAGAGGTTGAAAATTCCAAGGAGATAGAAGTGAAGGATTTGTATATCAGTGGTCTTGGCAGTGCTGCTTGCAAGTGCCATGATATCTGAAAGCAATGTCTCAAGAAGGTTGTAACTTCTGTTTGCATCCCTACAAAGCCTGAAAAGGTTCAGTAGATCAACTGGAAACGCACCACATGCAAATGTATGCGTACCAGTGCAGACTTTGGGCTTCTCTGTAGATTTTTGGTATTTCTAATATTTTTTTCAGAATAAAATTTCTTTTAAAATGCAATTTTCTTATCCTTTTGGTAATGAAAATAACCTTTTCTAATGTGAACCAGTGCAATGATGTCTTCCTGAGTCTGCACACAGACCTGAAATAGTAGCTATTAGAGCCATGAGATTCCCTTTATTTAAGTGGAGTATTAATCCAGATACGAAGCCAGAAAATTAGGCAATGATGGGAGATGAGATAAATTGTAATGTAATATGCACTAGAAAGAATTTTAACTAATCTCACCTATTAGTGGCTTCTAAATTAAGTGTATATAAACTTAAGAAAATATTGTAAAGTGTGCATCAGCAGTTCAAAAGCAAAAAAAGATGTTAGGTTGTATAAAGGAAGGGACAGAGAAGAATAATGAAACTATTATAAAGTTATATTATATATTGTTGGTTTGTCCTTACCTTCAGTAGTGTATACAATTCTGGTTGTGTACAATTCTGGTCACTCATCTCAAAAAGGAAGTAGCAAGAGGGGAAGAAAAAAATCCAGAGCGAGGCAATGAGATGACTAATCATTAAAGATGTAAATAGTTCTAATATTTAAATCTCTCCTATTAAACTTCTGATATTAGACAAATAAGAGCACACAAGATAGAAGTGTGTAAAATTATTCGGTTGGTCAGGTGCTCTTACAGTATTTGCCCTTTCAAGTAAAAAGAAGCATCCAATTAAAAGATGACAAATTTTAAAATTACAAAAGAATTTTTTATGTACTATATAATCTTGTTTGTGGAACTCCCAGCAACAAAGTGATTTTGAGACACGAAGTTTAGGATCACACAATTCTGTGAATAGAACTAATTACTAACTGCCTTCATAGAAACTTCCCTCTGGCATGTTGTTTTCTAACTTCTGAAGATTATGGTACTGAGCACAGAGACAGGATACAAAAGTAAATAGACCATTAGTCAGATCCAATGTGCAGTCCTACAATACCATGAACTCTTGAAAAATAATGGTTTATTATAAGGCAATGTTGCAAACTCCTTAACAGAAGTGATGTAGCAGGCTGAACCATCTGAGCCATGAGTTCTCTTATAATTCAGTGTGATTTAAACATTACCTACTTAAATGACACTTAGAATATTACCCGTTTTTAATTATTTATTTATAATGCACCAACTCATTTCTAGGTACATTGTGTTTATGAAGGAGTCATAGGGGCCTTGTCTTCTGAAACATTGTAGCATACCTAATAATTTTATAAAACTTTTGCCCCTTTAATTTTTTTTAAACATCCTGTTTGATCTTGTCTTTCCTCATACTCAGTCTGTTATTTCCACTAATGAAATCTGAAATATACTTCATATTTCAGGTTTCAAATATTTGGATTTTTTTATTAGAAACCAGTTGGAAAAACATGTTGACTTATATTTTGGTCTGACTGCAGGGTTTGGTAAGAGCAGCTGAATTCCATCCCCTCTAATAAAAAATATTCCAAAATACAGTGGAGGATTGTAAAAAACAAAACAAAAAAAAAACAAAAAACAAACAGATTTTTATTCAGTATTTCAAACTTTGAGAATGCTCATCTTCTGGAAACCTCTGTTAACGTTGGCAAGGTCCCACATCCTCTCCTTTTCTAAATTTAATTAACCCAGCACTACACCACATTTGGAAGGAAAAGGCCACAACTTTATTTATATTAACAAGGATTCCACTAAGACCATAGGGTGGTGGTTCCCACGAATTTCTTTTTTCTTAATAAGGAAATGAATTAATGGGGGTAACTCAACCCTTTCCAACCACCTTAAACTAGCTTAATAGAATCCAAAATAAATTATTTAAAATATACACTTTTTAAAAAAACTTGAATAAACTTTTTCCATATTTTGGGGGTGTCTCATTGAGAACATGTAGTGGCTTGCTGCCACTTTCTTCTAAATTCTTTGGAGAAACCATCATTGACCATAAGATACCACTATAAACCTTATGGAGGGGATAGATCTCATCAAGAAAGACACTCATCAGTTAAGAATGGTATCCACTCAAATTGTGATGACCAGTCTGCCATACATACATATGTTACCTCACTCTCACTTGATTAACTGGTGCTACTTCTAATTATTTAAACTCTATATCTACCGTCTATATCCCCAGCAAGGGATACTGTTAGAGAGAGATTCTTGAAACCCCTTAGCATTTCCGCTAGATTCAGTCTTATTGACTACCAGCTGTCTGTTCACATCATACACAGGATGTGCCGAATGTGCTTTCTGGATCTGAAAAAAAAAACAACCCAAAATCAAAAATGGCATGTTTGAAATCAAAGCCCACCTCAAACAATCTCTCAGATACTAGCGCATTGGATACAAGCATTTTGTTTCCAGACACTTTCCAGAAATTTTCATCTCTTTTTGGGGGGGATTAGGAGGAATGTGGCTAAACAGGTACTAAAGATATTTCCAAGAACCAGTCCTGCAACTTGACTACTCCTCTCTTTGGCCCCACTCCAGTAAACCGCTTCAGCATATGTCCAACTTTAAGAAAGTGAGTAATCCTTTTAGCTTCAATAGGGGAATTGTTCAATTGCTTAAAATTAAGCACATGCTTAATGGGTTTGCTGTATTGGGACCTTTGTTGTCTGAACAGCATTTTGGAGTAGTTAAGGTGTTCTGGAAGATGCAACCAACACATTGAGCCTAACTGTTCCCCAAAAGTCCAATATATACATATGTAATAGGACTTTCTTATAATGACCTTCACAGATATTGTGCATCCGATGAAGTGAGCTGTAGCTCACGAAAGCTTATGCTCAAATAAATTTGTTAGTCGCTAAGGTGCCACAAGTACTCCTTTTCTTTTTGCGGTTATAGACTAACACGGCTACTACTCTGAAACTAGAAGGACTGCATCACAAACGAGTGATGTTTTATCATTCACTTTTCTGTGCTCTTACTTAGCCCTCTCAATAGTTTTATTCAGAAACAGGCACCACTGCACTCTAGTACTTGTTTATCCTGCCAGGACTGCTGCACTAAGAATAGCTGGGAGAGGCATTACAAACTACACCTTGTTTTGGTGTAAGTCATGTAGCAAGTACTGCCAAAATCCATCTCCCTGTGATTCAAGAAACAAAACTGGTACAAACTCTGTAGTAAGTCTCTCTTTACATAAAGTCTCTTCTGGCTGTCTCATATGGCTAGAATTGACATAGATCTGTTGAAGTAAATGGAGCTATGTAGATTTACACCAGCTGAGGATTTGGTTCATATTGTTCACTTTGAGTGTTAAGGGGATGCAGCAGGTAGTTGGGCAGCACTTCTGTTATCAAGGTGAAAGCATTTGTTTGTAGTTGGGCAGGTTATAGAGTCTGCCTGCAATTTAAAGTATTGTGATTTTCTACAATAATCATGATTGTTAGTTTATTATGTTATTGTTGTGTTTTGTAAATAAAGCGCCAGCCCATTGCTACCGACGTTGGTATAATGCTGTTTAATTATGTTTGGAATGAGAAAAAATGTGAGCCTACCACTAGTAAGCCTAATTTTGGTTAAATAGATCCAGAGCTAGAAATCTTTTAATTTGAGTTAAAAAATGGTGGTACCTAACTCCTTTTCTTGCAGTCTAAGAACTAACTCATTTTTGTTAAAGGGCTGGTGGATTGGGTCTCAATTTTGTTGGAGCCAATGTCGTTCTGTTGTTTGATCCAACATGGAATCCAGCAAATGATCTTCAAGCCATTGACAGGTATAATCTCAATTTTAAAATTTAGGTAGACATAGTGCTCTTTTTGTTTTTTCATTTTGGAAATAGATTTTCTTATGCAAATTTTCTGAGAGAATAGGATATTCTTAGACACAATCTGATTTTGGCCGCATCAGACTAGATTTAGAAATGCCTGTTAATAATTTTTTTTAGCATTAATGTACTCTGCATACTGTTTAAAAAGTCAGTGAGAATTTCCACAGCTCCTTTACCTCTGAATTGTAACTTTTTTTATTTCCTACTTTTCAAGTTGTGACATCATTGGAAGAGAGAGGCATAGGACAAAGCTGCTGTTATGATAGTTTCGCTTTAAAAAAATAAGTGAACATATAGCCTGATGGCATTTTTCCTGAACCTGGAACAATCCCTGCTAGCCTGTTTAAAAGTAGAGAATATAAACAAAAAATACACAGTTAGTGATCCAGCTCAAGAGTGATGTTGAGAAACAGAGAATCCCTGAAGAAAAATAGTTGTGTTCTTATTTTGAAACCTCTGTAATATAGAGATGTCCCATTTCAGCATTCAGTTTAATGTCTGATAGCTTGCTGTGGTGACATGTGCAGGATTCTTATTTTATAAGTGTTTTCTCCTAGACATTCTAAACGTAGGATAGCATTTCACATACAGCTCATGAAAATACTTTTAGATAACTAAGGAAACACCCCAAGGAGTCTTTAAAATGTATAAAGCAATTGAGTTTTGATGAGTAAAAATACATTCTTTGTTCCATCCTATTTTATATTTTAGCTTTTAAGCTCCTCCATTATTTTGTAATTTCTAACAATATGGAGAGTCTATTTTTAGATACCTCCAGGAAGACATCTTTCTCCCCTTCACACTCCACAAATGGAAAAATGTTATGATGTTGCAGAAATGTGTGTCCTTGCAAGACTAGACTTTCACGGTACCACCTCTGTGAAGGTCACATTTCTCTGATGTCTTGACATTCAGTAAATCTCTTCTGTGGTTTCTGAAGTGAGGGCCATAAAGAGAGAAAATGTGAGCTGGGTAAAAACATTTAATTTCTAAACTTGTCTTTTAGGGAAGTTCTATTTTAAGTTTACAATATTTCCCTTTTATTGGAATTAGGATTTTACTTATCCCCAAAGGAACTCGTTGGCTAATAACCTGGCATTCTTCAAAATTACTCTGTCTTTGCAGAGCCTATAGGATTGGCCAGTGCAGAGATGTGAAAGTGTTTAGATTGATCTCGTTGGGGACAGTGGAGGAGATGATGTACTTACGGCAGGTTTACAAACAGGTAAAGTTCACACAGTATCATGGTACATGTAAAACAATAACTATTTTCAGCCAGCTGTCTGAATGAGTGAAAGCTGACCTATAGCAAGGTTGACTCTATGTTGGATTTATGACTTGCAATGTTAATTTATGCACTTGACAAGGAAGAACTACCCCATTTATTTCAGTGGGTGCTAACTCAGGCCAGTGATGGTACTTTAAGTGCCAATGTTGTTACTTATTTCAGCACTCAAAGCATGTGAGAAAGGAGATTTAAGTATCTCTTATGAAGATCTGAGACAGCCAATATTGAATGTCATTCCTTAAAATAAAAATGTAAGAGCAAGTTTTAAATTTCAGTTAAATATTGGTGGGCCTGTACGAGAAATTAAACTGAAATTTAAACACATGATGGGATTTCTTGTTTCTTGACTTTAGCAAAGCTTTTGACACGGTCTCCCACAGTATTCTTGTCAGCAAGTTAAGGAAGTATGGGCTGGATGAATGCACTATAAGGTGGGTAGAAAGCTGGCTAGATTGTCGGGCTCAACGGGTAGTGATCAATGGCTCCATGTCTAGTTGGCAGCCGGTATCAAGTGGAGTGCCCCAAGGGTCGGTCCTGGGGCCGGTTTTGTTCAATATCTTCATAAATGATCTGGAGGATGGTGTGGATTGCACTCTCAGCAAATTTGCGGATGATACTAAACTGGGAGGAGTGGTAGATACGCTGGAGGGGAGGGATAGGATACAGAAGGACCTAGACAAATTGGAGGATTGGGCCAAAAGAAATCTGATGAGGTTCAATAAGGATAAGTGCAGGGTCCTGCACTTAGGACGGAAGAACCCAATGCACAGCTACAGACTAGGGACCGAATGGCTAGGCAGCAGTTCTGCGGAAAAGGACCTAGGGGTGACAGTGGACGAGAAGCTGGATATGAGTCAGCAGTGTGCCCTTGTTGCCAAGAAGGCCAATGGCATTTTGGGATGTATAAGTAGGGGCATAGCGAGCAGATCGAGGGACGTGATCGTTCCCCTCTATTCGACATTGGTGAGGCCTCATCTGGAGTACTGTGTCCAGTTTTGGGCCCCACACTTCAAGAAGGATGTGGATAAATTGGAGAGAGTCCAGCGAAGGGCAACAAAAATGATTAGGGGTCTGGAACACATGAGTTATGAGGAGAGGCTGAGGGAGCTGGGATTGTTTAGCCTGCAGAAGAGAAGAATGAGGGGGGATTTGATAGCTGCTTTCAACTACCTGAAAGGGGGTTCCAAAGAGGATGGCTCTAGACTGTTCTCAATGGTAGCAGATGACAGAACGAGGAGTAATGGTCTCAAGTTGCAGTGGGGGAGGTTTAGATTGGATATTAGGAAAAACTTTTTCACTAAGAGGGTGGTGAAACACTGGAATGCGTTACCTAGGGAGGTGGTAGAATCTCCTTCCTTAGAGGTTTTTAAGGTCAGGCTTGACAAAGCCCTGGCTGGGATGATTTAACTGGGAATTGGTCCTGCTTCGAGCAGGGGGTTGGACTAGATGACCTTCTGGGGTCCCTTCCAACCCTGATATTCTATGATTCTATGATTGAAGATGAGCGCGATTGATTTTCATTTTCCAGAAGGGTGGGGCTTATTTTTCAAAAGTTTGGGAAATGCTGGGCTAAATGGACTTAAGAAGTGTCCATTACTCTGAACACTACCTTATTTGTGAGAGCCAGGCTCTTCTGTTAACTCCTTGATTCTCCAGCTCCTCATTTTGAGTGAGGGAGGAGGAGGAGGAGAACTGAAGTGGGGCAATCCCCATTGCCAGTATAGTAACTTGGACAGTAATGGCTGCTTGATAGCATCATACTTCTGAGGAAGCCCACTGACTTCCTCTTCCCTCCTATGGATTGTGGTGACTGGCAGGGTCATGAGAATTTGTAAGAAAGGTTTTCCCTTCTCCTAGTTCAACTTGTCCCAGTCTTGTTTCAGGACAGTTTATTGAGATCATCGGGGCAAGAGTAGGGGTTGTGCCTATCATGTGACACTTTCTGAATAGAAAGTCTGAGGAATGAAATCACATGTGTGAATTGTGTCCATCCCTAAGACAGCAGCAGAAAGTCACTAGTTCCTCACTTCATTTTTTCTCCAGTGTTTACTTTTACTTAATTGAAAATGTTCTGGTAAATGTACTGTGACTGAACTAGCAGAGTTCTGCTATATACCGGTAATCTAATTTTTAAAAGGAAATCACTGTATTTTTAAAGCGTCAATAATTAATTAGCATTTATTTAAGGACTAACATCTGCTGCTTTTTGTGCTCTATTCTGAAAAGTCTTAACATGTTTTTTTTCTCAAACGTACACAACTTTCTGAAAAACTTTTATATTCCCTGTTAATATCAGTATGTGTGTATGCTATTTTCTTGACTGTGACTTTCACAATGTCATATTGCTTTATTGTGTATAGGGGTTTTCGTCTTACTGGCAACCGTGATCAATCTGAAAAATAAACAGATAAAAAGATATGGAAGCTAAGACCTTTCAGTGGAGAACACTGTCAAAATAGGTCAATTTTTAGACCTACCAACCTTGACAACCTTTTGAACATCAGTAAACATGTTTTTAAACATCATGTATTCCTTTCTCCATTTCAGTGATTATCTGACATCTGTGACAGGGTCGGGCCAGATGGCTATAGGAGAGTAATAGAAGGCAGATATATTAGCCCCAAGCTAAGTAGGTCCCTTTTCCCTGGGTAAGGTAACAGGGAAGGTTCCAGAACAATCAGGAACCTTCTGGAGACAATTAAGACAGGCTGATTAGAACACCTGCAGCCAATCAAGAAGCTGCTAGAATCAATTAAGGCAGGCTAATCAGGGCACCTGGGTTTTAAAAAGGAGCTCACTTCAGTTTGTGGTGTGCGTGTGAGTAGCTGGGAGCAAGAGGCACTAGGAGCTGAGAGTGAGAACGCGGACTGTTGGAGGACTGAGGTGTACAAGCATTATGAGACACCAGGAGGAAGGTCCTGTGGTAAGGATAAAGAAGATGTTGGGAGGAGTCCATGAGGAAATAGCCCAGGGAAGTTGTAGCTGTCACACAGCTGTTCCAGGAGGCACTCGAGACAGCTGAGTTCCACAGGGCCCTGGGCTGGAACCCGGAGTAGAGGGCAGACCCAGGTTCTCCCCAAATCCTCCCAACTCCTGGTCAGACACAGGAGGAGTCGACCTGGATTGTGGGTTCAGAAAAATGGCCAAACTAAGGGCTTCCATGAAGCTCCAAGGCGAGCAAATCCACCAATAAGCGCAAGACCCACCAAGGTGGAGCAGGAACTTTGTCACACATCCTAATTAAATACATGTTTAGGAAACTTTAATCGAAAGCACCATGAAGAAAATTATGTGCTGTTTATGTACAAAATTTTGAGATGACTTTACAAAGACATTACTACAGTGTAAGGCATTCTTTCTACCAGCTTTGTAAAGTTCTCACAAAGCATAACGATTTAATTTTAGCAGGAATGTTTAGGGCCAGACTTGCACAGGTCTGTGTATGAAATTGTGTACATATATATACATGTTACTACTGAATGCAAAAAACTGTTATATTAGATAGATTATATAACTGGAGGGGACAGGCTGTATACACTACTCTGACCAATCAGGTACCTATTAATGTAGCTGAGCTTATTTGTATGCATACAGCTGTATGCATATAACTGAACATCTGTCTCTTAACTATAAGAATGGTCAGTTAAAATTTGCAAATCTAAGACTCAGATTTTCATTAGGTCTCCACTAATGCACGCTTAAGATCAGCAGACGCATTGGTCTGCAAACACCTGTGTATCTGTATGAACAGGTAAACTGGTACATAACTGTGAATTGCATGTGCAGTTACCTGATTTGTCTGCCCATGTGTAGGCTTTTCCATGTGGAAGTGAGGAACCTACAAATCTTATGTCTGCATTGATAGAAACCTGCTCAAAATTTTGACCTGATTATCCAGAACTTGCTGAAATTTTTTTGTCTAATTGGCCAAGTATATTTTACATAAAATTAGTCTACAGACAAAATATTGGAACTCCAGGGCTGGTTTTTACATCTAGATTTGAATTGCATTGACAGTTGAGTATCTAACTGGGCACACAATTTCCCTGAGATTTTCAACTAGTGTTGTTGAAGAGTATAAAAACATATTGTGACCATTAATGAGAACACAGAAACATGACCGCACCTGAACATGTGGCTTTCTGTATATGTGCAAGTGCATCTTCAAATAGACATATAAGCTGAGTTGTCTACTCTGTATTTAGTCAATATTTTAATATGCGTAAGTAATTGATTTTTTGAAAAGCAGTCTGTTTGTAATGCTTTGTATTGTGTTGTCTAAAGATGAACTTATTGAAGGATGTGTTTGATTTTGAAATTACTTTCACTTTTTTTTATTGTTTTTTATTAGTGGAACAGTTGTGGGAGAGGGGAACCATGTACAACCATTAGTGATTCAGAATATAAAAGAAGTAGAACAAAAATATAAAATTAAGTAAACAATATAAACTAGTTAATCTGAAATCTGTGGTGCAACCTTAACTATGATCATGATTGCTACTACATTTTTAGAGAAACATGTACATTGCACCTAGCAAAATTAGGGCTCCATCCAGCTATAGTTTGCCTTTGTGACTGATGACTATTTCAGAGGGGTACTTCTCCCTTGAAGGCAGCTGCATAGTCCTAGAATTACCATTAAGTAGCCCTCAAAGGCTACTAACATCCTAGGGACAGAGCTACAGAAAAATTTTTCAGGTCGAGTAAAGCCATCATTTCTTCCTGCTGTTCGTGCAGAGGATGTCTGCTATATTTGTACTGAACACTTGACGTCAGTTGAAGCACAGCTCAACCTGCCTGATTTAAAGAACATTTATATTTGATCTAATGCACTATTTACTTAACTTTTTCCAGCACAGTGGTGGCTCTCATTAGTCATTTGTACATTCCACTTAATCAGAGTGGATCAGAATTTAAATTTTTCCAGATCAATATTCATGATTCAGTGACCATATTCTTTTTCACTCTTGGTGTACTTTAAAGGCTGAATAACAATAATTTAAATATTTGTTATAAATTATTTGTAAACAGTCATGATGCAGTGAAGTACTGATACTCAAGAATAAGTTAGCAAGTTTCCAGTGTTAGGCATAGAACAATGAAGTAGGAGGCTTAGAACATTTTTTTTTCTTTCCTATTCAATAAAACTAGTCAGATTAATATTATACCACAATGGCAACATCTGCCAGGTAAATAAAAGCAAAATATTCTTCCTTAGGAATTTCTGCCTGCTTTAACTAAAGCTGCATATATATTGTGAATGCCAGGAAATTCTGACGTGATTGGATTAAACATTTCTGAAATCTCTTGCATTATTCTGTTTTAGCAACTTCACTGTGCGGTAGTTGGAAGTGAAAATGCCAAGCGATATTTTGAGGCAGTGCAAGGATCAAAGGAACATCAAGGAGAGCTTTTTGGGATCCATAACCTCTTCAAGCTTCGAACCCAGGGGTCCTGCCTTACAAAAGACATCCTGGAGGTGTGAAGCTTTCCTTATGACTTTTGGATATTTGCTTTACATATTTTTTCCTCTTGAAGCATTTTACCATAAATATGAATGTAGTGCCATGCAAAGAAGTATGGTGAAAGTTGAAACAGCAAATGCCTACACTGTGCCTTAATGTAGGGCTGTTACTTTCTCACTTTCAGGCACACCAAAATAATTCCTCTAAAATAAACAAAAATATGGAAAATGTAGTCTTATTAAAACTTGCCAAGAGCTCAATGAAATACATTTCTGTTCCTAATAAAAATACCACAATTGTTTTTGGGACACCTTCTGCATTTATTCATCTGTGTTCACAGATGTATTTTATTTATCAGATACAGTATTTGTCCTTTAAATCAAATTTAAAATACTTTTTTACTATGAGGAAGGTGTTCTGATCTTGCTAACCTTCTGTTTAATGGTTATTAGTTCGGGTGGATAGACATTTTTCATATCATAGAATTATTGCATTTATGTATCATATGCATACATTTTTTTTAAAATGCAGCATTGAAAAGGTTGAGTGGGGCATTCCATTCTAAAATCCCTGTCTTTTGGTTGTTCTCAAACAGTGTATTGAGCCAGATTCAGAGAGTGGTGTAGAGAGAGGTAAAGGATGCATAACATGCACCTCTTTATGTCCCCAGTATGTATGTTTTGCCAAATAAGATTCCCTGAAACTGTTTTTCTTTCTCATATCTGACACCTCCACCCCCTTATATATCACTCCTCAGTCTGGTTTGTGGAGTCTGAGAAGGAGGTTAGGAGCTAAGCTGGTATAAATCACTAACTTTTTAGTTCATAGCATGTGTAGCAAAAAACCAAAATCTTTCATATGAAGATGTAAGAAGACTATGTAAGGTAATGTAAGCCACTGTGCACTTTCACACATATACCTGCTTTGGCTTCTTGATGAGTAAGATACCCCGATTTAAAATTCTTTACCCTTATGTGTGGATAAAGGAGTCTAATTTTATAATATGGGATGCATTGCCTCTGAAGTTGGCCCATTGTGTTAAGAACTCTTTTAAACTGCGAAAGCCATGACCCCGTCACAATCATTCTTAGTATTTGAACTTTGGAGATAAAGCTTCTTAGTCATAGTCTCAGCCAAAGATGAATGTTTCTAGAAAGTTTATAAACAAAATGTGTCTAGCCATATTTTGGAAAAGATACCTGTTTTTCACTTTGGGATACTTCAGCTCAAATCTGTTTTACTAGGAGGAAAACAATTATGTCTTGGTATTTGCTTTAAATAGTCTTTAGTGATGAAAATACTGTCTTTCTGAAAAAAATGTTTAAAAATAGTAAAATTTTGGATGTGTGTAGGATCCACTCAACATGTATAATATGTCAGTTTTCTTACTCATTCGAGGCCTGATCTAACTGTCATTGAGTGTTTCCATCAACTAAAGTGTGGCAGTTTATTTGGGCCTTAAGTGTGAGTGGCCATTTTACTTTTGAACATGTGCACTTCCAGATAAATATGGAAAAATTAAGCTTTGCCCTGTCTGCCCACCTTACCTTGAAGACCACACATGCTGCCTTATTGTGTTGGTAATTTTTATTATAAAATTTTCCTGTCTTGCATCTTTTCTCTTTTAGAGGGAGGGTCAAGTGGAAGCAGGAGTCATGACAGCCACTACATGGCTAAAGGAGGAGCCATCATCATGCAAGTTAGAAATGGTGAGTTGTCTTTGTGCATGTCATACATCAGGGAATGTGGGTGCTATTTTTTCTTCTTGGTCCAGTTAGTGTGTTGAGCAAACATCTTTGACAAAAATTAGACACAAAAATTTTTAAAAGATACAGTATGTAAGGGATAATATCAGAAAGAGAACATTGCTGCAGGATGATGGTCTCTTGCTACCTTCGATTAGAATTTTCAAGAAGATAATGAATATCAGGCAAACTTCCATTAATATGTTTAGTCTGTGGTAATATCCCATCATGATGCCTCTACAGTATTTCTTAAATACCATCAGACTGCTGTGCGTGTATATATTTTGTTAATGGATACTGTTGATGTAGAGGGACAGTTGCTCACTGAGCTGTTGTTGAAATACTGTATTCTGAATGACTTATTTGACAAATGATTTGTTGGACCCGAACCTCAATTGATGTAAGTCAGCCTAGCCCCAGTGATTTCAGTGTTTGTTCACACCAGCTGAGGAGCTGCCCCCACTGTACTTTGAACAGAGAATTTGAAGTAAAATTTGCTCTTTTGCACAAAGCCCAAATAGTTGGTTCGTGTGTTTGTGTGTCAGAGACTGGTTGTGCTCTGTGGTTAGACTGGCCTCGTAATTAGAACTGAAGTCAGGACAGGGTTACCTGAAAAGAGGCAAGGCTGGGACCAAGATAGACAGGAGCAGGGCTGAAACAGGAGCTATCACAGCTGTGGGCAAATGCTTTGCTTAGCCGCTGAACGCTGCTGCTGGGCTTAAGAGCCAGTCTGCTGACTTTTCCAACCGGTTGGGCGGTTTGGCCAATCAGACCCCTAACTATTAACTATAGTCAGTATTCTGTAGCCTAGTAACTGGTATAGTGGTCAGATCCCCTGTGCAAGGGGTTTGGGCTGCTTCCTCCATATAATTGCAGATCCAATAAACCCCCCCACAGGCCATCTTAATGACTTGTTCCTGTTTTCTGAACTTCTTTAGTTTTGTGCTTGGCTACAATAGTCCTTAAGTGATTCTAGAGTAGAAGGTTATATGCGCACAGTTCTTCAAACCATTATAAATGGGAGTGTTGGACCTCAAATCCTAAAAAGTTGGCCACCCTGTTATGTGTTTTCCTTATAAATGATTTGATTATGTAGTGTTTTGGTTTGCACTGTTGAGTTGCTTTTTAACCTACACAACTTGAAAGCTGCACCAAAATGAGTTCAAACTGTAAATGTAATGGTATGTTTACTGGATAAATGCAGGTTGTTCCCAAACAGACAAACAGTAGATAGCATGTGTTATTGTCCCAAACATTTAACACAGTTTACTAATATTGCGGGGGTTTTTTAATCGTCATACACGTGCTATTATTTGGTTAAATATTGTATTGCATACCAAAGCTTCCTACTTGCTTAATATCTGTGTATTGAATGTGTACTTATTTTTGTATAGATTGGGTTTTATAATTTAGTAAAAACCCATTATCTGTATTAGAGAGTCAAAGTTAGAAGTTGTTGTTCCAAATGTATATCTGTTTTAAATAGCTTTTTTGTTTTGTTGTAATGTTAAGTTCTGTGACAATGATTTTCAGTATTTATTTATTTATTTTTTTTAGCATGCAGAGCCAGGTTGTGAAGACGATAAAGCTCCTCTCAAATCGGAGAAAGAGGAATTTGATTTTTACAGTGACTTTAGTGATGATGAACTTGTGGGAAGCTCAAGAACAAAAAGAAGTAGATTTTGCAGTGCAAATGACATGCTAGTTTCACAGAAACAGCTTACCTTAATGCAGTGTGGTTTTCTTAAACTGCTAGAGAGAGAAACTAAAGCTACTGAGGTCACTGATAGTAATGGTGCATCTGATCATGATAGCTCAGATGCCAGGTCTGTGGGCCAAAGAGCAAATGTAGATGTCAAATGCATTGGTCTTCAGAAAAGTAGAAGTCATAGTATTTTGAGACGTCGGAGAACCACTGAATCACCAAATAGAAGTGAAAAACAAGATATGCATTGTGCGATTGTAGCGCCAGATTGGCCTGTTTCATCTGAATCTGAGGAAGAAAAGGACATTGAAAATAAAAATATAGATCAGTGCATTTCAAAGGAAATTGGCATAGTCATGGAGACTGAAGGCAGCTCAGAAGAGAGTGATGATGTCATCTTTCCTTCACAAATTCTAACTCACCAAGAAACTGCTCCTGCTAAAAGTGTTAAAAGAGACAAGGCTGTATCAGAAAAATTGGAAGGGTCAGATACAGAAAAGACCACTAAACATACACCTAAAAGAGACACTTTGGCCTGTAAACAATCTCTATTCCATAATACTAGGTCAGTCTTCACCAAAACAAAGACTTGGAAAAATGCCCAAAAGTCCACAACATATGTGAGAGGCACTAGTGACATAAGTGATGAGTCTGATGATCTTGAAATACCCCTATGGTCCAAATCAAGAAACCAGAAAGCCTTCACTGCTCTTACGTTGAAACAAAAATATGATCGAAATAAGAAGTTCTGTAATTCTTCCAGAACTGTGGTGCAGGCAAACAAGCCAAACAATGGAGAAAAGGAAACCGATTCACAGAATATAGGTGAATTTTCATCCTCTGAAGATGGTTTACCAGTCAAGAAAATTCACTTAAGTAAGCAAAACCACAGGCACAAAAAACAGAGACGCAGAATTCAGTTTGACCCCAAATCACCCTGTCGTGTTAGAGGTGCCTCAGTTATAGTTTCGACACCCAGTCACTCTCATGTGCACAAGACCTCTATAAGTAAGAGAGCATGTGTCAGTCAAGAAGAAAATGTGGGATCAGTGGACAATTTTTTAGGTGATTGTAAAATTTATTATGAGTTTTTGTTCAGCACAATGTAGTAGTACAAATTTAATATGGAGAAGTTTTTTGCAGATATATTAAAGGTGTCACCCTGTCCTTGTTTATATCTGATTTATTAAGAGATCTTTAATATTGTCCTTCCCTTTTTATAGGCCTTGTTGATTTCACTGATTATTTTTATCCTTGTCTCTTCTGATTTTGAGGGCCACTCTGCAATACAGTAGATGCTGCTTAATATCAACCTGGATATTAACAACTTCCAATTAATAGCAACATTTTGCTCGGAACGAATTCCATGCCATTGACATTAATGTTAATGGGATTCAGATTGTTAATAGGATTGGCAACGGCATGATGCTTTATTGAGTTTTTTTGGAATAAAGACTCCAGCTGTAGGCAGGCAGGTTTGTACTGCTGCAGCATGGGAAGAAAATGCAGGGAGATGCCTTCCCTCGCTGCAGCCCTGCAAACGTGCTTGCACCTGCAGCCCTGCCCAATGGGGGACCCCTGCTGGAGTCCTGGCACTGCAAGCTGCGAGGGGAGGCTGTGGGCAGGGCAGCAGTATGGAGTTGGGGGCTGTAGCCTGGATGCCAAGGCTTTCCACAGGGAGTTGGGGGTGCTGACGTCTCACGGAGCAGCAAGATACCTCTCACTGCTGTTCCCCTCCCAGTCCCACTCACGAGGAGAGGTACTATGCAGCTCTGCACCCCTGTTCTCCTGATGCTGCCCTATCCGCAGCTTCCCCTCCCGTCGGAAAGCCCCAGCATACAAGCTGCAGCCACCCTCTCCGTTGCTGCCTATCCCCGGGCAGGTTTGGGGAGGTAAAGCCAGAGAAAGCTCATCCCAACACTTCCTTATAATCATAGAATATCAGGGTTGGAAGGGACCTCAAGAGGTCATCTCGTCCAACCCCCTGCTCAAAGCAGGACCAATCCCCAATTTTTGCTCCGATCCCTAAATTGCCCCCTCAAGGATTGAACTCAGAACCCTGGGTTTAGCAGGCCAATGCTCAAACCACTGAGCTATCCTTCCTCGCCCTTTCTGGCTGCAGCCCCACAAAAGTGCCCTTCTTCTTATTGGCAACTGCCAGATAATGGCAATTTTTTGTTGGCAATCCAGGGGTTGCTAATAAGCAGAATCGACTGTTTACATATGTTTCTATTTTTGCTAAACATTTGCAATCACTACAAAAAGAAGCATTAATGTATGATACAATTACATTTTCTAATTTGAGAATGAGTAAATGAGTTCTCACCATAATGTTAACTTTTTTCCTGTTATCAGTAACTGGTAATTTTATCACTGAATATTATTTGAAATATGTACTGTGGTATTGGTAGTATGTATAATATGGAGTAGTTGGGGCGATTAGTCCTTAACTTTGAGCGTTATTATTGCATTCATCTTTTAAAAACTTTGGGTGCCTTGGAGCAAAGTTTGCCATTTCTCGGTATGCAAAAGAAAATTTACTAAAATGGTTGCAGCACTTAAATGGATATTAGCACAACTGAAGGATTTAAGGACAAAGCCCTAGATTTTTGAAGGTATTTAGGTTCCTAAATCCCTTTTGAACATGAGACTTAAGCTCCTAAAGCAGTTAGCCATTGCAACGCTGAGTGCAACAATGCCTAAATACCTTTAAAAATCTAGGCCTAAGTTACAGGCTAACAAAATGTAGGATTTCCAAGTTAACTTTATTTTAACTTTTTCTTTTAAAATTTCAATAGATCTCTATAATAGAGCTGATATATCCAGGCAGTATTTTGGAATGGCCAAAAGAGTTTGATTATACCTTTCTTCTCATGTATTAGACGGTGTTCAAGAAGTGGCTTATATTCATTCAAACCAGAATGTGGTTGGATCAAGCAAGGCTGAGAATCAGATGAGTAACTGGGCAGTGCGAGATGTGTTTGAGTTGAAGCAGTTTTCCCAGCTCCCTGCTAATATAGCAGTCTACAGTGCCAAGGTAAAGAGGAGGATTTGGGAAATGTTGTTTTGTTCTATTTTTATCCTCCTTATTCTCTTTCTTCAAACTTGGTTTTTTGTTAATGGCCACCATGAATGATCTAAGACACTGATGGGAAGAGAAGGAGGAGTTTCAAGTGGAGGCCTAATAAAATAAAATACTGTGGCTACTTCTGTATTGGTCAGCTTTGAAAGTGTTGGGAACTGAGTTGAACAGCACCCTCTGCTGGTTTCTGTAAGACTGTCTCAGAAGTAATATGCTTATCTGTTTTAGAACAGAGATTGGGTACCTGAAATCTAATCCTGTGCCACATTTTCTCTGGTAATAGGACTTGATTTGAGGCCTGGAATCTTCAGTTTCTTTGGTCTAATTAATAAAGTAGCAAGTTACCAGAAAAGAAGGTTGAACCTTCATGGTATTCCAGAGGACTCCCTCACTAGGGCTGGAAAGTGTTTTAGTTAGAATCACTTAAAGTCAAATACAAGTTTGCAGAAAGAGTTTATGTCAAAACGTCTACTATGATTAATTCAACTTTATGGGTCAGTGTAGTCTTCGTTAATGTAAGTCTGAAGTTGAAAATTGAACGCAAGCCTGTTGGGAGCATTTCTAACACTTGCTTAATTTGTAGTGATGAGTATGTTTTTATGCTTTACAGCCATTACATTTCATGTTAAATTACATTTGGAATAGAGATAAGCCTGAGTCTAAACTCGGATAGATCTTCAAGTTTATGTTTCAGACCTATTCATAGAATCATAGAATATAAGGGTTGGAAGGGACCCCAGAAGGTCATCTAGTCCAACCCCCTGCTCGAAGCAGGACCAATTCCCAGTTAAATCATCCCAGCCAGGGCTTTGTCAAGCCTGACCTTAAAAACCTCTAAGGAAGGAGATTCTACCACCTCCCTAGGTAACGCATTCCAGTGTTTCACCACCCTCTTAGTGAAAAAGTTTTTCCTAATATCCAATCTAAACCTCCCCCACTGCAGCTTGAGACCATTACTCCTCGTTCTGTCATCTGATACCATTGAGAACAGTCTAGAGCCATCCTCTTTGGAACCCCCTTTCAGGTAGTTGAAAGCAGCTATCAAATCCCCCTCATTCTTCTCTTCTGCAGGCTAAACAATCCCAGCTCCCTCAGCCTCTCCTCATAACTCATGTGTTCCAGACCCCTAATCATTTTTGTTGCCCTTCGCTGGACTCTCTCCAATTTATCCACATCCTTCTTGAAGTGTGGGGCCCAAAACTGGACACAGTACTCCAGATGAGGCCTCACCAATGTCGAATAGAGGGGAACGATCACGTCCCTCGATCTGCTCGCTATGCCCCTACTTATACATCCCAAAATGCCATTGGCCTTCTTGGCAACAAGGGCACACTGCTGACTCATATCCAGCTTCTCGTCCACTGTCACCCCTAGGTCCTTTTCCGCAGAACTGCTGCCTAGCCATTCGGTCCCTAGTCTGTAGCTGTGCATTGGGTTCTTCCGTCCTAAGTGCAGGACCCTGCACTTATCCTTATTGAACCTCATCAGATTTCTTTTGGCCCAATCCTCCAATTTGTCTAGGTCCTTCTGTATCCTATCCCTCCCCTCCAGCGTATCTACCACTCCTCCCAGTTTAGTATCATCCGCAAATTTGCTGAGAGTGCAATCGACACCATCCTCCAGATCATTTATGAAGATATTGAACAAAACCGGCCCCAGGACCGACCCTTGGGGCACTCCACTTGATACCGGCTGCCAACTAGACATGGAGCCATTGATCACTACCCGTTGAGCCCGACAATCTAGCCAGCTTTCTACCCACCTTGTAGTGCATTCATCCAGCCCATACTTCCTTAACTTGCTGACAAGAATACTGTGGGAGACCGTGTCAAAAGCTTTGCTAAAGTCAAGAAACAATACATCCACTGCTTTCCCTTCATCCACAGAACCAGTAATCTCATCATAGAAGGCGATTAGATTAGTCAGGCATGACCTTCCCTTGGTGAATCCATGCTGGCTGTTCCTGATCACTTTCCTCTCATGCAAGTGCTTCAGGATTGATTCTTTGAGGACCTGCTCCATGATTTTTCCAGGGACTGAAGTGAGGCTGACTGGCCTGTAGTTCCCAGGATCCTCCTTCTTCCCTTTTTAAAAGATTGGCACTACATTAGCCTTTTTCCAGTCATCCGGGACTTCCCCGGTTCGCCACGAGTTTTCAAAGATAATGGCCAATGGCTCTGCAATCACAGCCGCCAGTTCCTTCAGCACTCTCGGATGCAACTCGTCCGGCCCCATGGACTTGTGCACGTCCAGCTTTTCTAAATAGTCCCTAACCACCTCTATCTCCACAGAGGGCTGTCCATCTCTTCCCCATTTTGTGATGCCCAGCGTAGCAGTCTGGGAGCTGACCTTGTTAGTGAAAACAGAGGCAAAAAAAGCATTGAGTACATTAGCTTTTTCCACATCCTCTGTCACTAGTTTGCCTCCCTCATTCAGTAAGGGGCCCACACATTCCTTGGCTTTCTTCTTGTTGCCAACATACCTGAAGAAACCCTTCTTGTTACTCTTGACATCTCTGGCTAGCTGCAGCTCCAGGTGCGATTTGGCCCTCCTGATAACATTCCTACATGCCCGAGCAATATTTTTATACTCTTCCCTGGTCATATGTCCAACCTTCCACTTCTTGTAAGCTTCTTTTTTATGTTTAAGATCCGCTAAGATTTCACCATTAAGCCAAGCTGGTCGCCTGCCATACTTACTATTCTTTCGACTCATCGGGATGGTTTGTCCCTGTAACCTCAACAGGGATTCCTTGAAATACAGCCAGCTCTCCTGGACTCCTTTCCCCTTCAAGTTAGTCCCCCAGGGGATCCTGGCCATCCGTTCCCTGAGGGAGTCGAAGTCTGCTTTCCTGAAGTCCAGGGTCCGTATCGTGCTGCTTACCTTTCTTCCCTGTGTCAGGATCCTGAACTCAACCAACTCATGGTCACTGCCTCCCAGATTCCCATCCACTTTTGCTTCCCCCACTAATTCTACCCGGTTTGTGAGCAGCAGGTCAAGAAAAGCGCCCCCCTAGTTGGCTCCTCTAGCACTTGCGCCAGGAAATTGTCCCCTACGCTTTCCAAAAACTTCCTGGATTGTCTATGCACCGCTGTATTGCTCTCCCAGCAGATATCAGGAAAATTAAAGTCACCCATGAGAATCAGGGCATGCGATCCAGTAGCTTCCGTGAGCTGCCGGAAGAAAGCCTCATCTCCCTGGTCCGGTGGTCTATAGCAGACTCCCACCACTACATCACTCTTGTTGCACACACTTCTAAACTTAATCCAGAGACACTCAGGTTTTTCTGCAGTTTCGTACCGGAGCTCTGAGCAGTCATACTGCTCCCTTACATACAGTGCTACTCCCCCACCTTTTCTGCCCTGCCTGTCCTTCCTGAACAGTTTATAACCATCCATGACAGTACTCCAGTCATGTGAGTTATCCCACCAAGTCTCTGTTATTCCGATCACGTCATAGTTCTTTGACATCACCAGGACCTCCAGTTCTCCCTGCTTGTTTCCAAGGCTTTGTGCATTTGTATATAAGCACTTGAGATAACCTGTTGATCGCCCCTCATTCCCAGTATGAGGCAGGAGCCCTCCCCTCACAGACATTCCTGCCTGTGCTTCCTCCCGGTATCCCGCTTTCCCACTTACCTCAGGGCTTTGGTCTCCTTCCCCCGGTGAACCTAGTTTAAAGCCCTCCTCACTAGGTTAGCCAGCCTGCTCGCGAAGATGCTCTTCCCTCTCTTCGTTAAGTGGAGCCCGTCTCTGCCTAGCACTCCTTCTTGGAACACCATCCCATGGTCGAAGAATTCAAAGCCTTCTCTCCGACACCACCTGCGTAGCCATTCGTTGACTTCCACGATTCGACGCTCCCTACCTAGGCCTAGGACGAGAACACCACTTGCGCCTCCAACTCCTTTATCCTTCTTCCTAGAGCCACATAGTCCGCAGTGATCCGCTCAAGGTCATTCTTGGCAGTATCATTGGTGCCCACGTGGAGAAGCAGGAAGGGGTAGCGATCCGAGGGCTTGATGAGTCTCGGCAGTCTCTCCGTCACATCGCGAATCTTAGCCCCCGGCAAGCAGCAGACTTCTCGGTTTTCCCGGTCAGGGCGGCAGATAGATGACTCAGTCCCCCGGAGGAGAGAGTTTGTTTGTTGGTTTTAATCTGCATTCCTGAATGCTTGGGGCATTCTGATTTGGATCCAGATTTCAGACACTTAAGTGGGAATGTTCACATCCAGGTTTTTGGTTTGGGGGTTCATGTTTAATTTGGACTTAGACGGACACCATCAATTTATCTATTTGTAAAGATGAATCTAACCATTCCCTAGTCATTTTTTTCCATACTACAAACATTTGTAGTTCCCCTAGGCTGATCCCCAGGATGAACCACAAATGTTTGTAGCCTAAAGCAAATGTTTGGGGTACATTCAGTTTAGTCTTCACAGATGTGTTTAGCTACCATGAATAAACTAACAATCATTTAACTCAAGGTAAAAACTCTAGTCTGGATCTACATATATTAGGTCATGCCCATGCATTTCCTCATTAACAGGTGTGCTTCCAGCACTATTGATGTAGTGTAAATAATTGTTCTATTAGCAAGGGGTGTTGAAGCAATATTATGCTGGGAAGATCAAAAAAGCCAATCAGCAATAAGTGAGATCTTTTCTATAGTAAAAGTATTTGTATTTGAATCTCTCCCCTAAATAGACCATCAGGTAAAAATGCGCAAGAATACCACAGAAAGATCCCAGCCCCTAATAGCCAGGATTGACAACATCACTAGAATGCAGGACAAATGAAAGAAAAATTTGAGGAGAGTACTGGGGCTTAATGACTCTAACGCCTGCTGTGTCTCTGATATTAGGCTATGGGATTTTAAAGGCTTTTCTGTTGTTCAAATGATTTGTTTCTCATTACACCCGAATTCAGAATTTTCATGCCCACAGGTGTTAACAAATTA